GATGACGTTGGTATGTGACTCTTGTGTCCACCATTCCACAGTACATCTACTATTAAGAAAATGCATTTTATTATGATACTATTAATACAATTAGTTATCATCAGTTATCGAGTACTTGTGACTTAAAATGCCAAGCCATCTTTTTCATACCAAGACAAATTGATGGCACTGGCATCAGAGTCACCAGGAACCCTGTTAAGATGTATTGCTAGGCCCTGCCACCAAAGTTTCTGATTCAGTTTATGGGGTGGAAACTGATCATTTGCATTTTCAGCAATTTTCAGGTGATACAAATGCCGTATTATAGAAATAGTAATGTCAAATGTGTGTTTAGCACTATAGGACGTATCTGGACTCTTATTTGATACTGTGGTTTAATAATACAGAATATAGGGCCAAATTTCAGTGATCCTTATTCAGGAGATAGAGTACCTGGGGCAATCTAAACACAGAAATAATACAGTAACATTTACTGAGACCATCAATTTCAAATTTCTGCGTTCCAAACCTACCTCCAAGTTGCTAAAAAGCAATGGAATTTGCTTCATTTTCCATTCTTCTTGTTTCCACCCCCTGCTGATGGCAGAGAGATTGTTCTGGTTCACAGCAAGACATCAGATCTTAAAGTCCTAAGTGCCTACTGGTTGGCAGGTGGCTCCAACTGACCAGGGTGGCTGAAACATTCTGAGCTTGTGGGCTGGCTCTGGGCTGTGATGACCTTCTAGGGCATTTCAGTCCTGTGTTTAGTCACAAGGTCTATCTCAGCCTTTGTGTGCTCATCACCTTCTGGGCTCAGACCCATGATCTCAGCAGATTTAAGGAGCAGTTCTACCATGTGAAGACCTGGTATCACTGGGTCCTTAGTAAGCTATTTTTTGGCAGAGCACAGGCCCTACACATCTCTGATTGGGGTTCCTTTGGCAGTTTTTCCATCTGTGGCAGCTGCCGTGCTTTGAATGGCTTGCTATGATCTTTCGGGTGCCACTTGTCTGAAGATGGCCCGCAGACTGCTCTGGAACACAGGCTTCCTGCCAGTGGAAACCCATGACTGTGCTTTATACTGTAATTGAGTGGAGACAGGATGTCCCTCATCGGAGCACCTTGCCTGTCTGACGCCATGTTATTAAAAACACAGACTCAGGACTTCATTTTTTTTTTTT